GTAGTCTTTGTCAACTGCCTCAGGATTCTTCTGTTGGACTTAGTCCTCATTGTCTCACTTCCACATTTAATTTCTCAGTAAGTGCTGTCCATGAAACCTTCACAGAAGACCTGATGCCAGCCATTTCTTGTTACTTGTGCAGGACAGTGGTTCATCTTTGCTTTTAATTTGTGAGCTCTTCACAGTAGTAACCTGCCAGCGTGGTCCTTTAAAACTGAGGTGGATGCTAACACTACTCTGCTTCCTGTTTCTGAAGGGAATACATGCTATCTCCTAGTGACTTCTAATATCTACTTTCTGTTGCCTGATCCTTTTAGCCTGTCTGCCCTGTCCTGTCCTGTCCCTCTACCCTCTTGTCTGCTCAGCCATACTGAGGCTGGTTTTGCTTTCTCTGTTCCTAGTACACTTTTGTTTGCAGCTAGCTTCTCGTCTTCCCTTAGCTTTCTGAGAAAAAAAGTTGTCACACCTGCTTGACCAGAAACACTCCTGCTTACACTGCTTTTGTTTTGTTTTGTTTCGTTTTTTAACAATTTGCTGGCATTCTTTTTAAAATAATGCTGTTAGGACTATCAGTGTACAGAAATCTGTGTAGTTCCTGTCAGGTTTTTTTTAAAGATATATTTTATGTGTATGATTATTATGCCTGCATATGTCTGTGCACTGTGTGCAAACCTGTGCCTGAGGAGGCTAGAAGAGGGTGTTGGATCCTCTGGAACTTGAGTTACTGAAAGTTCTGAGCCACCATGTGGGTGTTGGGAGCTGAACCTGGGTCTTCCGCAAGAGCAACAAGTGCTTTCAACTGCTGAGCCTTAATTGAGTTTTTTGTTTTTTTCAAATTTAGTATTGTGTATGTGCCGTGCTGCACATGTGGAGGTCTGTGAGTTCAAGGCCAACCTTGTCTATCCATATAGCAACAAACTCCTATGCAAAATCCTTCAATTTCAACAGAGTCCCATGCAGGAACATCTGATGAGCTATAGACACAGCATTGTTTGTGATACTCTGTGCTTCCTATATTATGGTCCTGTTCAGACAGCAACATCAGTTGACCACAGTGTTATCAACTTTGTCATAGTTGTTTTTGGCTGTTATCTACGTTCCCTTACAGTGAGAGCAACTTGCAGTGACTGAAGTGCTATTGCTGGGATGATTTGCTGGTGAGCTTTTCCTAAAACTCAGGAAGAGATTTCCATGGTAGAATTTCTGTTCTGTTCATTTTCTTAAGACAAGAAAATTGGTATCTCTTCTTTACCCTGGCAGATGGTACAGTGAAGGAACGGTTTAAAGCAATTGTTCTCACGCTTACATGTGCACCACACAGATTGATCCTTGTTTTGAGACTCCTGAGTGGGGCTGCTCTCAGTTGGAATTTAAAGATTCTACATAGAGTAGTTGCTGCTATGCTGGGACCCAAGTTCTAACCAAGCACCCAGGTGGACAGCTCACAAGTCTGTAACTCCAGCTCTAAGGGATATGGTCCCTTTCTGGCCTCTGTTAGCACTGGCACACACATCACATAAAGTAAGTCTTTAAAGCCATATCTATCAGTCCTGCTCTACAGAGCTACACTTAGGACTCCTAAAAACACATTCTTCAGTCACTATTCACAAGTAGTGTGTCACATGGGACATTCTTGGGACAGATTTCCAAAAGGACCAAAAGAGCTTGAGGTTCTCTTTGTCTTTTTCCCTAGAGGCACAAAACTAAACTAAGTGCTGAGCCAAAAGCATAGTAGCAGGAGAAGTAGTAGGGAGGTCATATGTGGTGGCATCTGTATATCCTTCTATGTCTGTGTTTGAGCCCTAGCACTATGGATGTCTAATCAAATAAAATCTAAAGAGGTCAGGCAATAATTAATTCACAGTTTCAAAACAATATGGATCTATTTCTGCAGTGCAGCAGCTTAGACCACAGCTGTTAGGAATACAGTGGCTCAGTCTGGGACATGTGTGGCAGGACCATGGTCCCTTGGTGCAGTGGGTGGTAGATGCCAGGTGGATGGGGAAACAGACTTGTAGACATGACTCATATTGAAAGTTTTATTGAGGGGAAGGTAAGAAAATAAGGGAAGGAAAGAGAAAAATGATAAAGAGACGTAGAGGGGGACAGACAGAACTGCCTTCTTGGAGAGAGGGGTGAGGAGGGGGAGGGAGGAGAGGGGAAGGAAGAGACAGAAAAAGTCTTGTCTGCCCCTTCACAGGAACAGCAGAAAAGAGAGCAGAAATGGGTGGAATTTTTCTTTTAAAGGGTCCTTTGCACCTGCATACAGACTATGTAATGCTGTAGCAGCCATAGGACCCTGGGCTAACCAGGGTACTGCCTGAGTTCATTTTGCCAGGTGACAGATGACAGGCCAGCATAATGCCTGAATCCTTACAACAGCCTCTATTAATAGCTGAGGGTTCTGGTCCACTGAGTGTTGTCCCAGATGCTGGGCATGGAGACAATAAAACTGGATTCTGGCCTGGAGAGATGGCTCAGTGATTAAGAGCACGGGCTGCTCTTAGAGAAGACCAAGTCTTGATTCTCAGCATCTAAATGGCAGCTCATGATCATCTATAACTCATTTCCAGGGGATCCAAAACCCCCTTCCTCCTCTGTGGGCACCAGGCATGCATGTGGTGCACAAACATGCAGGCAAAGCACCTATACACAGAAAATAAAAATATTGTTTAATTGATTCTTTAATTTAAATTTTATTTGTCCAGGTGGCACAGGCCTTTAATACCAGCACTTAGGAGACAGAGGCAGGCAGATCTTAGTCAGTTTGAGGTCAGCCTGGTCTACAAAGAGAGTTCCAGAACAGCCAGGACTGTTGTACAGAGAAACCCTGTCTCAAAAACAAAACAAAAAATGTTATTTGGGAGGAGAAGTGGTTTTGTGAAGCAGTGTTCATGTGTCGGTGAAAGGTCATCTTTCGGGAATTGGTTCTCTCCTTTTACTCTGTGGGTTCTGGGGATCAAACACAGGTTGTCAGCCTTGGTGACAATCTCACCCACTGAGCCATCTTGTTGCTCTTCTAGAGGACCTGAGTTTGGTTCCCAGCACCCACAACTGCTTGTTAACTCCAGCTCCAAACTATCCAACATATTCCAAGGGTACTGCAACACATGACATATAGCAGTGTAATTTTTCTTCCCAAGCTTAAACATTGTACACAGTATTTGATCATCAGTAAAAGGTCTTTAGACAAAATTCAAGGCTGAAGAGATGGTTTAGTGGTTAAGAGCATATACTGCTCTTGCAGAGGACCTGAGTTCAATTCCCAGCACCCACATCAATCAGCTCATAACCCCCTATAACTCCATCTTCCAAGGACCTGACACCTCTGGCTTTCAAGGGTACCAGAATTTGCACATACACACACACACACACACACACACACACACACACACACATATATATATATGTTTAAAAATAACAAATCTTGTTGCCAGGTAGTGGTAGCACACGCCTTTAATCCTAGCACTTGGGAGGCAGAGGCAAGAGGATCTCTTGAGTTCCAGGCTAGTCTGGTCTACAAAGCTACACAGAAAAACCCTATCTCGGGGAAAAAATCTTGAAAAAACTTTAAAGTTTTTAAACAAAACTTATTATTTAGATAATATTTGGCTTATGTTTGATGTAGTTTCACTTACCCATCATGTAGTTTAAGTAGGAACTTAATGAAAATCCTACAAGAACTGACAGGCACGATAAAAGTTAAACAGTACCTGAATTTAAATAGAAACAGACCCAGAGGAATGTACCTCAGAGACAGTTACCTCAACATCAGCCAGGCATCTTTTGCCTTTCAGCTGAGTCTGCCCCCCCCCTTTCCCTCCTGTGCAGTCATACAAAGAATTCTGAAGGCACCTAGAAATTGATGTTTTGTGTTTGTATCATTAAAGGTATGTGTTCTTTGGTGATCTTCAGAATTTAGCATGAGGCTGGGGCTGTGGTCCAGTGGTAGAATATATGTTTAGCCTGTGTGATACCCTAGCTTTATTCATTTCTCTCAACAATGCTTATCACTTGTAGTTTTCTATGCCTTTGTGAAGAGAAAGATCCAATGTCTGTTGTTGCTAGAGCCAAGAGAGCAGTGGCTGGAATTGCTGAGTTGCATTGTTTCTGTTGCAGACTAGCTGTAGCATTTCAGCTGTGCACTGATAGAGTTGTGCTTGTACTTGCAGACTTCCTTCAATTCTGAGTTTTCTGCAGTTTTGTATGTTTTCACTTGTGCTCTTTACTCTGACTCAGACTAATGTGTCGTCCTTAGTGAGGTGACATCACAAGCAGCATTGCCACTCATTCCATTAACAGCAGCAAATGTAACCTATCAGACCCCACCCCCAAATCCAGATCATTAAGTTTCAGATAATGAAGAATACTGTGTACAAATTGCTTCCATCAATTTTCTTGACATTGAGAAGCACAGTAAGGCACATGTTTCCAAATGGGTATGACTCTGGTACTTGAGTATGGGTCCTTAAATGCCTCAAACAGCAGAAAGATAGGAAATTCATATCATGAATCTAGAGATCAGAGAACAACTTGGGAGAAGTGGTTCTTTCCTTTCAACCTGTAGGGGCCTGGAAATCAGGGTTGGTGCTAGTCAGTTTCTTACACTGTAAGTAAACAGTTAAAGGTTGCAGTAGTCCCTATCTGGGGTGGGAAGAACCCAGAAAGATAGATGCCTTTTCCTAAGCTTTCCTAGGGACAAACGAGGTTAATTCCCTTGTAGTTTACTAAGATTTCCTAGAACATTACCATTGCATCAATGGGTTATTGAGCTGTGCTCAGGCAATGATGGTTCTCTGTTCTTGGTAACTGGAAAGGAAATGTTTATGGAGCTAGAGGCTGGCTGTGGGAAGTTTGGGGCACTCCGGTCCGGAGACTGACATGTGGTGGTGGAAGGGAGACAAGAGAGGTCTGTGTGTCTTTCTTACGGTCTGTTGACATGGTCTTTCATATATTTACCTCCCCATTTTGTTTTGTTTTTCATGTTTTGTTTCTGTTAGGAGAGAACATTGAAATTATTCTCTAAGCTATCTGAAGAGAGTGACTAAATGCTCCTGGGTCAGGCTCTCTGTGGGTATGAAGTGGTTGGGAGACTCCAAGAACATGGTGGTGAATGGCAGGAGAAATGGAGGCAAGTTGTCTAATGACCATCAGCAGAATCAATCAAAATTACAGCACTCGGGCAAGGACACCCTGAAGACTGGCAGAAACGCCGTTGAGAGGCGGTCCAACAGATGTATGTACACACTTCATCTCACTGTTTTGATTGTGGTGCTACTTTGTTCCCTTCAGCTTCCATGTGCCTCTTGTCATCACACTTTCCTCTGTTCTCACAGTCAACAGTAGTAGAGCCTTTTCATTCTCAGAAGTCCATTTTGATTCTTTTTTTTTCCCCTTTTTCTTTTTTGAGGGGTGTGTATGTGTCCCATTATGTTGTCTAGGTTTGACTTAAACTCCTTTTGGGCTCAAGTGATCCTCCCACTCAGCCTCTGAAGTAGTTGAGACTACAAACACAATAGCAGTTTTGATTCTTAGCATGTAAAATGTAAAACAGTTTCCTGCTTTATGTAATGTCTGTGATGCTTATTTACTCATAGAAAGTTTATCAATTCTGTAGGTTTTTTTTTTTTAGTGCTACTACTGAATTTCTTATATTTAAGTATAAATACATGTCTTGCTATAACTTCCGTAACTGCTTCATTGTGCAAGCTGAACCATACACTCACCAATTTTGCATGAGAAGTGGATGGAGAAGAGATGGCCCTTAGGGCACCCTCACAGTCCTTGCCATCTGTTTTGGTTTCGTGGACTGCTGAATTACAGGGAAACCCAATGAAAAGAAGTTACTTCTGACCCTCTATGGTTTTTGTCGGGGATGAGGCTACTTTTTTGAGAATTGAAGAAACTGTGGGACGATTTCTGTTTTTTGTCTCCCCTGCACAATAAAATACCCTAGAACAAGCCTATGCCTGAGTGGATAGTTACAAGAATATTATTAAGAAGTGTCTGCCCATGTTAAGGATGACTCTTTTTTAATGTCTGCTTTTCCTAACATCAGTCAACCACTATGGAAGTTCCTCAGTTGTGTTGGGGTTGGCCTGCTGTTTTCTGTAGGTTCAAAAGATGGTTATGAATTCTGGTGTATTTTCTCCTTAGCTTTAACAGTTGATGCTGTTTATTGAGCTCAGGTGCCTTTACTCTTTCCATATCTGCTCAGATCAATGTTTCTGTGGAAAATGTAATTCCTGTTTGAAATTAAGGGCATGAAGGAGCTCCAGACTAACTAGTTCTTCTCTGCATGGGCACCAGCCCCCCACGACTATTGTCAGCCTGGGCTGACAACTGCCCTCTCAGTGGTGCTGCTGTGCTCAGAAAAGAGGCATTTCTGAAGCTTTTAATAAAATTGGCCTCTTCTTGTGCATAAAAGTTTTACTTAGAGGTTTTAGTTTAAGTTAAATTTAGTTGAAAATACATAATGTGAAGACAGCATCATGCTGAATGTTGTTGGGCAGGTTGAGTGGTGCAAAGAGAGCTAGTGACAGAGGAGAAGAAATACAAAGTGTTCGTGTCAAAGAAGATGGTTGACCTGACTTAAAACCAGGGCCCAGAACACACAAAGCTAAATGCTGATAGCATTGGAGAGAAAGTGGACAGTGCAGCAGGAAATTGGGTACTACAGCAATTCACTTTCAGCACTGGGACCAACAACAGGCCAGAGGTGAACAGGAAAAGGGTAGATTTAAACAGCCCTGTAAATCAACTAGACCAATCAGATATCAGTAGAACATTCTGTTCACCAACAGTGTTATATTCCTTATTCTCAAGTATACATGAAACATTCTCCAGGACACATCATATGCTAGGCCATGTAATAAACATAAGCAAACTTAAAAAGATTGAAGTCATAAAAATTTCTACCATAGAGTGAAAATTAGAATCAATACAAATTTACTAGTACAACCTCATAAATGACTATTGATTCAAAGAAGCAATCAAAAAGGAAAGCAAGTTGAGTAAGGTGACACATACTTTAATCCCAGCCCTTGGGAGGCAAAGGAAAAAGGATCTCTGTGAGTTCAAGACCAGCCTGGGAAAAATAAACCCAAGTAAACTTTTTTTTTTAAAAAAACAAAGGGAAGTTTTTTTTTTTTTTGGGGGGGTGGGGTTCGAGACAGGGTTTCTCTGTGTAGCTTTGCAGCCTATACGGGCATTCACTCTGGAGACCAGCAGCCTATACTGTCACTCACTCTGGAGACCAGGCTGGCCTCGAACTCACAGATATCTGCCTGCCTGAGTGCTGGGATTAAAGGCGTGCATTACCAACACCCGGCGTAAACTTTTAACAAGTAGTCATTTAAAATCAGCAGAGCCTACCCACAAAGGAAATATCAGGCCCAGAGGGCTTCATTGATGAATTCTCTGAGATGTCTCAAGAATTGATACCTGTTCTTGAGAAAGTCTTAGGAATACTTGTAACTCATTTTCTTACCCCGATGCCAAAACTAGATAGACATCACAGGAAAAGTACATACTAATATTGCTTCTGAATATGAACAGAATTATATCTGTCACAAAATACTAACAAACCAGTTTAATGATGGAATCCTGTAGGTATACCGTTTACTTAGAATCCCATCTCTAATGCCTTGGGATTTCATCCCCAAGCACTAAAGAAAGTGTGTGTGTGTTCTCCTGTAGACAAGTTCAGGAATGCATTCAGGTATTCATGCACATGTGTGGAAGCCTGAAATAGACAATATGTGTCTTCTTCACTTTCTACTTTTTTTTTTTTAAAGGTGGGTGTGTTTGTGGTTATAGGTGGATGTGTAGGTCTAAGACAGAGGTCTAAGACATATGCCTTCCTCTGTCACTCTATACTTTTAGAAACAGGGTGTATTTTTGTTTGTTTGTTTTGTTTTTGTTTTTTGAGACAAGGTTTCTCTGTGTAGCTTTGGAGCCTGTCCTAGAACTCGCTTTGTAGACCAGGCTGCCTCAAACTCACAGTGATCCCCCTGCCTCTGCCTCTCAAGTGCTGGGATAAAGATATGCACCACCATCGCCCAGCCCATAAACAGAGTGTCTTAAGTGAACCTGGAACTTACTCTCTTTTGGCTAGACTAACTGGCCAGCAAGCCCCTGGGTTGGTCTTCTTCTGTCCCATCTTCCTCTGATGCTGGGTTATAAACACACCACACCATTGTACCCAACTTTTACATGGGTGTAGAAGATCCAAAATCAACCCACTGAACCATTTCCTCAGACTATACTTGTATTTGGTGTGTGTGTGTGTATGTGTGTGTATGGTGTGCATGTAATACACATGTAGAAGCCAGAAGTGTCTTTTATCATTTTTCATCATTTTTTTTTAAATTTAGCATTTATTTAATGTATGCATGTGTTGGTGTACATATGTGCAGTGTCATGAAGGTGGAATAGTGTGCATGTAGAGGTCAGAAAGCAACTCAGAGAAGTCAGTTCTCTCCGGAATGTAGACTCTGGGGATTGAACTCAGGTTAACCTGTCAGTTTTGGTGGCAAATACCAATCTTATAGTTTGAGACAGGGACTCTTAATGAACCTGGAGCTCATCAATTTGGTTGACTAGACTAGCTACCCATAAATGAGCTCCAGGGATCCTTCTAACTCCACCCTTCAGTTTAGGGTTACAAATGCATAATACTACCCCTTGCTTTTATGTAGATGCTGGAGATCTGAATTTAGATTCTTTGCTTGCCCAGCAGACCCTTTTCCTACTGAGCCATCTCTCTGATCCCTCAATGTTAGTCTCTGAATGAGCCATCTAGAAATGAAGTTAATGGGGGCACATGCCTATAATTCTAGACTTGGGAGATGTAGGCAGGAAGATGGAGGTCATCCTCAGCTACATAGTGAGTGTGATGCCATTCCGGACTACATATGACTCTGTCTCAACAAAACCAGACAGTGAGCCTTCTTTTCCTTTGTCTCCTGCACACACCCAGGGAGTCACTTAGAACAAGCACATGTTAGACATATTATCTTACCCTCTGTGAACAGCAGCTGCAGAGTGAATTTAGAAAACTGTTTCAATTCATCAAAAATGAAGTACAGGGCTAGAGAGATGGTTCAGTGGTTAAAAGGGTTTACTGTTCTTTTAGAGAACTTAAGTTTAGGGTCTAGCACCCTCTTACTGTGGCAGACTCCCACATGTATGTGGTGCCCATAAGCGCGCGCGCACACACACACACACACACACACACACACACACACACTACAGAGCTGGGCATAGTGGCACATGCTTATAATCATAGCACCTGGCAGGGTGAAACAGGGGGATTGCCTGAGTTTGAAGTCAGTCTGTGCTATGTAACAAGATTCTGTTCTCAGAAAGGGAAAAAAAGCCAGATGGTGGTGGCACACACCTTTAATCCCAGCACTTTAGAGGCAGAGACAGGTGGATCTCTGAGTTCAAGGCCAGCCTGGTCTACAGGGTGAGTTCCAGGACAGTCAGGGATACACAGAGAAACCCTGTCTTAAAAAACAAAACAAAAGGAAGAGGAAGAAGAAAACAAATAAAAATATAGAGTTCAGAAAATTTCATTTACTAATCTCAGCATTCTAAAGGGTGACGCTGGGGAATTGCTAAAAGTTCAAGACCATCCTAAACTACATGACAAGAACCTTGCTCAAAAAAATAAAAAACACATCAGGTGTGGTGACACATGCTTTTAATTGCAGCCCTCGGGAGACAGAGACAGGCAGATCACTATGAGTTCAAAGCCAGCCATGTCTACAAGTTCTAGGACAGCCAGGGCTATACAGAGAAGCTTATCTTGAAAAACCTCAAAGGATAGGAAAAAAAAACAAAAAACTGAGGATGTAACTTTGTGATAGAGTGATTCCCTATGGGATACTCTGGGTTCAGCCCCAAGCACTACTAACAAGCCCCAAGCACTACTAACAAACATCTCATTTATAGTTCCACCCAAAATTAGCAGTAAGAATCTACAAAGTATTAAATCTATTCCTGAAAACTGAAAGACATTGTTGAAAAAAAAAAAATTGAAGACGGAATAGGTGAACTAACACATAGCATGTTCATTGATTAGACAACAAATGGCAATATTCTTCAGGTGTCACAATCTCAACTTGCATATTTGAAAAAAATGACAAATCCTAAAATACAGAAATTCAAGGAACCCAGAATAGCAAACAATGTTTGGGGTTGGGGAAAACGAAGTTAGGAAACTATGGTTCTTCTATTTCGAAACTTCCTTAACAGGCTGTTAAAGACAGGTCAGCAATTAACAACACTGTCTGCTCTTCCAGAGGTCCTGAGTTCAATTCCCAGCCATCAATCACATAGTGGCTCACAACCATCTGTAATGAGATCTAGTGCCCTCTTCTGGCCTGCAGGGACACATTCAGGCAAAACACTGTATACATAATAAAAAACAAAAACCTTCTTAACTGCTACAGTAATCAACACAAGGAAGATCCAGCGCATCTGTGCTCCTGGAGTAGATTTGAGAACCAGAATAAATTTCACAGTTTTGATCTGTTCACAAAGGAAGGAGGGTTTGCTAGGACTAAAGCTCATGGTTTCTAGGTAAGTTCCTCCCCACTGAGCTGCATCCCTAGCCCTGTTTTGTTTTGTTTTTTGTTGTTATTTATTTATTTATTGATTGATTTTTTTTGAGACAGGGTTTCTCTGTGGCTTTGGAGGCTGTCCTGGAACTAGCTCTTGTAGACCAGGCTGGTCTCGAACTCACTTGTTGTTTTTTAATAGAGTGTCAGGAAAAATACAATTAAAAAGAATCAGAGCTCTGTATCCAGAGTGAAGGGAACCTGGCACACTGTGTGTCTGAAAAATTGAAAGTCCTAGGTCCTGACTTCACATTAGGCAATGTTCTTTTAAATAGGACATTAGAAACATAAAAAAACAATAAAAAAATTCAAAATTACAAATCATATGTTAAAGGAAATATCAAAAAGTGAAAAGACAATCACAAAGTAGGGAACTTAATTCCAAATCATACATCTACAAAGGGCTAGTGCCAGAACATACAAACTTTGAGAAAATGTACCAGGTTTAGGCCTAAGGAGATACATATATCAGGGCTTATCTTGCATGCATAAGGCTCTAGGTTTGACTCAGGCAACAATTTAGATTGCTTTTTGTTGTTGTGATTTTTATGTGTATTGGTGTTTTGCCTGCGTGTATGTCTGTATATATGTCTGGTGCCTTTGGGAGTCAGATCCCGTGCCTCACGATGGTAGCACACCTTTAATCCTAGCACTCAAGAGGCAGAGGCAGAGGCAGGAGGATCTCTGAGTTCAAGACCAGCCTGGTCTACAGAGTGAGTTCCAGGACAGCCAGGGATACAGAGAAACCTTGTCTCAAAAAAAAAAAAACAAAACAAAACAAAAAAAAATAGTCAAGATTCCCTGGGTTGCTGTTACAGACAGTTAGTTGTGAGCTGTTATGAGCTGTTATGGGTGCTGGGAATTGAACCCCAGTTCTCTGGAAGAGTAGCCAGTGCTCTTAATGGCTGAGCCATTTCTCCAGCCTCTTGGTAACTTTTCGGTAACATGCCTATATGCAAATATTTTGATTGCAAATGTCATATACCTAGCCCTTAGCAAGGACTCATATGTTTATATTGTGAAAGAATGGATGAAGAGGTTAAACCTCCCATTGTGTCTCATTCTCCAGTGTGTTGGTTTTGAGAACCTAAACTTATACTAAACTCAGTGCTTTGTAAATTAAGTGCTGATTCCAGGAGCAGGCTGAACACTGTACCCATCAGCCTTTACCAGCACTGATGACGCTTTGTTCCTGTGCATGCCTTCTCTGCATTGCTTCACCACAGTGATGTCCAACCACTTACGTTAGCCAATTAGGTTTCTCATTAAAAATTCTCTCAACAGAAGTTGGATAAAAATAAGCCTCTCATTTTCATTCCTCCTCTTTCCCTGCTTCTGCACAATTCTAATTCCAGGCAAGAGTTTTAACCTCTGGTCCTCAGTTACACATAAAAAGAGGATATTGATCATTTACCTGCCCAAGCTGGAAGCCCAGCTTAATTCCTTCAGACCTATTGTTTCCTGGGATCCACATTTGTGGCCTTTCTTGATGACACTCTGCATTCCTTTTGCTTCCTTCTCCCCTAGCCCTATCTGATACTGTCAGCTGCCCACCTTCTCTCAATGGTTGGATTTACTGCATCTGGTTTTCTGTTTTACATAAGGGATACTGACTTCTTAATCATTAACGGTGATTGACATAACTCCAGCTAATGATGCCAGTTTGGATGCAGTGGGGATTTTAAGCAGATTGAATAGTTTTCACCAAGTTACATTTCTTTCTTTTGCTTTTCACAGGTCATGGTAACTCGGGATTTGAAGGACAGAGTCGCTATGTGCCGTCCTCTGGAATGTCCGCCAAGGAGCTCTGTGAGAACGACGACTTAGCAACCAGTTTGGTTCTTGATCCCTATTTAGGTTTTCAGACACACAAAATGAATACTAGGTAATTTTAAGTCTTTTTCCTGAATAGAACCAGTAATGATGTCAAACTTAAGAAAATAGATGATGAATCTTACTTATATTCAAAATTATAAATGACAATAAAGGGTAAAATTCATTGATACAGAACAGTCTTGTTCAAGACAAGAGAAGCAAGCAGAATCTGGAAAGACAATCTCCTTTCCAAGGTGGATCAGTTCATTACTTGCATATTCTACAAGCAAGTAGGAACCTGTTTAGAGTTTGTAGTTGTGGGGTCATATGTGGGGTGTCTGTCTGTCTGTCTGTCTGTCTGTTTGTCTGTGTGTGGGTGTGTCTGTGTCTGAGAGAGAGAGAGATTGATTGATTGATTGATTGATTGATTGATTGATTGATTGATTGATTGATTGATTGATTGATTGATTGATTGATTGATTGATTGATTGATTGATTGATTGATTGATTGATTGATTGATTGATTGATTGATTGATTGATTGATTGATTGATTGATTGATTGATTGATTGATTGATTGATTGATTGATTGATTGATTGATTGATTGATTGATTGATTGATTGATTGATTGATTGATTGATTGATTGATTGATTGATTGATTGATTGACTGACTTTCTGAGTGCTAGATGTGTACTACCATGCCCAGATCTGGTTCTTTGACATCTAAGGTCTCTGACTCATTACTCTAGTTCTCTTAAGTACCATCTCTCTTTGGAAAAAGACACTAAGATCATCTTTTAACTTCTTTCTGTCTTTGCTTCTGTGGCAAAGGGTTTTGGATCTGGTAGAAATGGTGCCACTGGGGATTTAGAAATGAGACACAAACTGGGCCCATTCCTTCTCATCTACATCACACACACAGGCTTCTTGTAGCCTGATGTCCATGATCATCCAGGAAAAATTGAAAAACCAGGTCAATAAGCTCTGATTGTCAGGGGAGACAGGAATTGGACAGAAGCCTTGTATACCCTTTCCTCTTTGAGATTTGTCCCTTTCTAGAAGTGAAACAGGACATAATTTTTCTCACCAGCTCTGTTATGTACCTGGAAAGAATGGCAGCACAAAGGTGCCTTTGTAATGCCATGATTCCTGCCACCATGACTCAGTCACTGATCTGAAGTGAAACACTGGAAAGGAGCTGAGGCTATTGTAAAGGTGCCTTTGTAATGCCATGATTCCTGCCACCATGGAGTCACTGATCTGAAGTGAAACACTGGAAAGGAGCTGAGGCTATTGTAAAACTGTACCCTGTACCAGCCTACAACTTTATTTACACTGCTTTTTTTGTTTGTTTGTTTTGTTTTTGTTTTTGTTTTCGAGACAGGGTT